GGGGGTGGGGAGGGGGAAGCAGCAACAGGAGACGGCTTCCGATCTCGAGAGACACGGCCGCCAAACGGGAGAGCAAACCCAGCCGCACGGGGCAGCCTGGGCGCTGGGAAGCCGGTTTGACAGAAATGCCACTTAGAGCCGGTGCATGTATCCAGTCCTGAGCTTGGCAAACTTAAATCCAAGCCTGGCAGCAGTTCACGGTCTACTGCAGCACCCACCCAGTGCACTGGGATTCCTGCTTCTCTCTCAGGTTGGACAGACGCCTACCTTCCTACCCGTCAGGGGGGTGAAACACTGGAATCAAGTGCCTAGGGGTGTGGTGGAGTCTCCATCCCTGGAGATACTGAAGAGCAGGTTGGACAGACGCCTGTCAGGGATGGGCCAGACGGTGCTTGGTCCTGACGTGAGGGCAGGGGACTGGACTTGAAGATCTCTCGAGGTCCCTTCCAATTCTAGGATTCTAGGTTTCCCTCCTCTTCTCTGTCCCTTTCTCCCCCTCTTTTTCATTCTCGCTTTCGGTCGCTCCTGTCTTCTCCTCCTCTCTGGTTCAGCCTTCCTGCTCTCTCGCCCCATTCCTTGTCTGTCCGGCTGTGACCCTGCCGCCCATGCGAGGAGGATGCTGAGACAGGAGAATGGATTGCCCAAGGCCTGCTTAGTGGGTTTTTATAATGAGTCTTCCTGCCTCTGATGAGAGCCACGATGCCCCCTGTGCAAGGTGAACACCGGAGCTCAGCCAGCCGGCAGGCTAAGGCAACAGTCCACTCAAGCACAGCTTTGCCCCGGCTAGATTCTGCCTCGGCTCCTTGGGCAGCATGTCTGAGCACCAGGCCTGGAGGCCATCAGGAAGCATCATGCACGAGGGCAGGAAGAGCACAAGAGCCTGGTGGGGTTGGGGGCCTGGGGGCACCAGAAATGTTTGCCAGGAACTAACAGCCTCTGGGCATGGGCAGACATGCTGTACCTCTAAGATCATCAAAGAGTTCGCGGGGCCCAAGGCAACCGCCTTGCCCGAAGGCTGGGTCTGATCAAAATGCAGGGGGCAACATGCACAGCACAAGAGGCTGAACAATCCCTCGTGTGGCCTCTACATGCTAACCCTCCTCACTGCTAGGCAAAGCTTCCCTATCCAACCCCAGAGCCTCTACCGAAACTGGTCTGTGGCTTGTAATCTATTTCCTCATGCTCACGGCCCCGGTCACATTTCCATGGTGTGGAGGGGAGGGGAGGGGGGGAACTATGCCTCGTACAGGGCTGCGAATGCGTCTCCGCTCTAATTTAGACTACCCTTGTTATTCCAGGCTTGGGATAGCCCCCTCCCCTCCAGCACTGTCCATGCACCTCCGTCGAGTGGAGCAACATTCCCCGCTATTCCAGTCATGCTCTGCCTACGCAGCTTTGCCAAATCTCTACCGCATTTGCTGCTGATCCAGTACCAGGCCACGCTCAGCACCATCCCCGCACCTTCGGCTAATCAAGTTTAGGGCCGCGCGTATGTCTTTGCCAGTACAATCGAACTCTGATTTACCACTGGCCTTTCCAGTCCACGCAGCTCAGCCGTTTGGGCTCCGCTCACAGCTCCCCTGCAATTCCAGCCTTGAGCTTCCCTTGGGCAGAAATGGATAATGCTGTGGGGGAGGGGGGGGAAATCAAGTTTTGGGGATGTAAACAAACGGGCTGGCTTGTGTCACATCCCAGGGATTTAAAAACAGGTATTCTGAGATGGAAATGGGGGGGCGGGAGGGGGAGGGTGCTCCTTTGAACT